ATGGGAGAACTAGGAATGGGAGAACTAGGAATGGGAGAACTAGGAATGGGAGAACTAGGAATGGGAGAACTAGGAATGGGAGAACTAGGAATGGGAGAACTAGGAATGGGAGAACTAGGAATGGGAGAACTAGGAATGGGAGAACTAGGAATGGGAGAACTAGGAATGGGAGAACTAGGAATGGGAGAACTAGGAATGGGAGAACTAGGAATGGGAGAACTAGGAATGGGAGAACTAGGAATGGGAGAACTAGGAATGGGAGACCTAGGAATGGGAGAACTAGGAATGGGAGAACTAGGAATGGGAGAACTAGGAATGGGAGAACTAGGAATGGGAGAATGAGGAATGGAGGAATGAGGAATGGGCGAATGAGGAATGGGCGATTGAGGAATGGGCGAATGGCCAGTGGACGAATGAGGAATGGGCGAATGAAGAATGGGGAAATGAGGAATGGGGAATGTGGAATGAGAAATCTTTAAAATGGGAAATCTTTAAAAGCAGGAATCTTTAAAATGGAGAAAATCTTTAAAAGTGAGAAACTTTAAGACGGGAAATCTTTAAAAGCGAAATCTTTAAAATGGAGAATCTTTAAAAGAGGGAATCTTTAAAGTGGGGGGGGTCTCTAAAAGCGAGAATCTTTAAAAAGTAAAAAGTAAGTAAGTAATTCAACTTTAATGTGGCACCACACTTAGCTTCAAGCTACTTTCCAAGAGACCCACAATAAACAACAGAAACAAATATTTCAAATTGAACATAAATCGTTGAGAATCCCAACTGGCCGGAGGCAAACCAGTAGGTTATTTACAAGCGTGGCAGAGGATTTGAACTCGGAGCTACCGTGAGACAAATTCAGGTAATGGTCAGAGCGGGACTCGAACCCGGGAATAGCGGATTACGAGTCCGACGCGTTGACCACTCGGCCACGCTGCCTCCTTTAAAAACGAAACAATTTTTTGTACTAGACTGAATCAGCCCTATAAGCAATTATGATTGAATACTCTGATTTATATTGTTTTTCGGTATTATCCTCGCGGTTCAAATAACAGCCGGCTGTCGGTGGCAGCCGGAACTTTTAACACACTTGCTGGCGATTTTTTTACCAAAGAACTAGAATTTTTTAATAAAATTTCACGCTCAATGACCGTCCAACTGAAGTGAAAGTCGTTGCCCTGTTATGGTGATTATTTTATATCAGACAATAAAGCAGCCAAGAAATGTTTTAAAAGCTTTTTGGAGACGTAAACGAGTATAAAGATTCGACATTTGAAGCGTGCTATTCTTGGGTTTCAGGTGACGTCACAAGCTTTGCTGAAGTTAGTATCCGCCATGTTGGTGTCCCTCGGGTGTCAAATTTATGCATAATTAGTCGATTTCTATAGTGAAGCCCTCTCTCTTATCGCCGTATTATTTCGCCAACTACATGAATATCCAGAAAGAAAAAAGCGATAAAAGTATCTGGCATTCATCTTAAGGTATCCCAGTGCTCTCTGAGTATGCCGAAAGCTTAGAGAGTTGGAAGGAAAGATGTTTACAAAAGATCTCGGTCATCGCGGTTGACCCTGCAAGCGTGACAGCCGAGAAGTTCAGTCCAAAATGCTTGCCTCTTGTGGAAGTGTCGGATTTGCTGAGTTACCTCGTTCTTGAGACCAGCTTCTACACCAAGAAGCAGTTCAAGGCGTTCAAGAGTCTAGAGGCGTTTAATCAAATGGTGTCGGGATTTGTAACCTCAGTTGTTGGCATTCATTAGCGGCCGTNAGACTAGCCCAAGGGTCGCAAAATTGTCTTCGTTTTGGGACTGGTGGGCCGAGTCTCTGTTTGTATCCATTATTATCGCGAAATATTTAAGAATTTTAACAGAGCGACAACAAGGATCTGTGCGACGAAGTACAAAAAAGTAAACAAATGTCCCTTTCGGCTCGTCAAAATCACGCCACATTTTAATACTTTGGTGTTGGAGCGAGCGCATTTGATCCAGTTAACTGTGAATGAAAAGCTCAAAATTAACGGGAAAAATGGAGGAAATCTAAGCAAAATGAAGTCTTGTGTCACTCTAAAATGTTTTAATGCTCAACCATCGGACGATTTTGCGAAACGTGCAACTTGCGGCCTTGTTTTTGCTGCTTCAGTTGGATCAAGACCCAAAACGTCAAAATACACGCGGCATTACCAGGAGTGATCATGAGTCGAGTTTATCTCTTGAATTTTCGAGGGGTCTGAGTTTTCGGGGTCTGAGGTCTGAGTTTTCGGGGTGTGAGTTTTCGTGACACCCCAAGCTTGCTTGCACTCAGGTAAAATGCTCATGGATTTTGCCGACATATGTCAATGAAGTGCCGTATGCGAGGGCTAAAGACATCGATTTCTCATCGGCTAAGAAGCTCAAAGAAAAGCTCGACCAAAAAATCGAGGATCTACAACAGCCGCAAGCCTCGAACCATACAACAACTTCTAGTTCCTCCTGTCCTTCCCCTTGATTTGTAATGATCTTAGGTATAGCGCATTAGATCATATATCCAATGAATTTTGCGCTATAGAAATAATAAAATTATTAAATTATACGAAAAAATGCTTAGTCTTTATGCTTTCCACTTTTGCTCGAACAGCCAACAAAAATGCATAAAACCATCCCTTCTTTCTCACATGAACTCTTCGTTAGATACGGTTTGTTTACGCTCGAGGGACACCAAGATGGCGGATAGTAACCGTTGCTAAGGTATTGGTCACGTGGGTGAAACCCAAGGATAAGAAGTATTTTTGTTTACCGTATTCAGCTTTCTCCGTCACATTACCGTGTTTATGTTTCAGCAGGTACATACTACCTTAAATCTAGATTTATTTTCCGCCAAATCCTGTTCAATGTCGTTTGTAAAGCCTCACGCGTTCAAATTAAAGTCGGTGCTTGACATTACGGATTTCCCATGACTGTAAATGAAGAAGCATGATAGTTTGTCTAGAAAAAGTTGATTATCATTCAATGCATTTTTCCCCCATTTTCATTGGCTGGGAGCCCATCACGTGACCTGCAAATAACTGCCTACAAATAATTGTCTGCTCATGCGTTCTACCGTCTAACTCCGTTTTTGGTGCAAATAATATTCTGCTTATGCGCAGTAGTAACCACGCTCTTGTGGTCGCTCTTAAGGTTTCAAGATAACCAAAAATAATTGATTTCTAGAAATCAATTTTGACAGCAGTGCGCGCTTGCCGCTTCCCCCAAAAATTGAAAACAAACTCGGTGATCGAATGATAAAACAATTATTGAACTCGGTTATCCCAAAATATCGTGATTTGTCAGTGTCCTCGCAGATCAATTATTTGCCACAGCCTTCGGCTTCGGCAAATAAATGATCTGCTCGCCACGGACAAATCACGATCATTGGGATAACCGAGTTCAATAATTGTTACATATTTCACGCTTGATCAGACACCGAAAAATTGAGCCGTTCGCTACGCTTTGTTATTAGAAAGGGAATTGCCGCAACGAAACTTGTTGATCAAAATAAAGATTCTGATGCTGGAATTATTTTAGCAATTTAATCATTTTGAGTGTTGAAAACATGTGCTGAGTGCCCTTCCATTGTAGCGCAGTTTTACTTTTGTCATCAGTCATGAATTTTTTTAATATATTAACAAAGTTGAAATGGTAAATTGGCCACCGTTGCGATTGTAAAAGCTGACGTTTCGGGCGTTAGCCCCTCGTCGGAGCGAATAGAGGAATTGTGGGTTGTGTGTGCTTTAAAGGCAGAAAATGGAGCTACGTTATTGGTGGGAACATGGCAACGAGAAAAACACGAATAAATTAGTGGAATGAA